TGCTCAGGGGGAGAGTAGGGTCTGACAGGTAAGGGGAAAGGGGCTGCCGGGGGAAAGCAGAGAGTAAAGGGGTAGATTTATTTTCTCTGCTGTAGCAGTGGGAGGGGGACAAATTCAAGGCAGACCTCCAATAACTAGATTCTATACCTGGAAAATTATAACAAATGTATACATTTTTCATATATAATCTAATTATTGGAGGGCTGTCATAATTGGAGCCATCTTCTTTTGGAGTAAATACAGTACTTTAGATCGGTAGCTCTGGATCGTGCCTTTCCCATATTGCTGGGACTAAAATTATTTAGCTGCTTTGGAATTTAGTGTTTTAGACAAAAAGTAAAAGAAAGCCCTTTGGTTTTTGCTGCTTTACAAGGTCACTTCCTGACCCGGCTGTGAGCAGCTGCTGGGTTTCAGCTGTTTTACCTTGTTGGTATTTCATGTAAACCATTTCTTCAAGTTTTTATTTGTGGGTTTGCAGCCTTAGAGTTGTTGCTTTGAGTTACAAATTTAAGCCAGCCAGGCAGGTTTTGGAACTTAAAAAACAACAGCTGTCCAGCTCTAATTCTCAACCATGAGTACGGAGAAACCAAACTCGAGTCATCAGCAAAACGGTTTGTCAAAAGACATTGAGCTGGTGTAAAACGGAACCCGAGCAATCTGGTGATACTGCAATGAAGGAAGTAGGGTAATGCTGCATGTGCTATCTTATTTACCAATCTGCCTATGCTGGTTTTCATATGAGGAGAAAAGCAAGGAGATGCAGGTGTGATAAGCATCATCAGTTGGTTTTACACAATCCATTCTTCTGCTTTATAAAACTGATGTTACGTTAATCTATTCCAAATGAATATTAGAGCTCCAAAATGCAGCACTCAGAATTTGGGAAATGCCACATGTAAAGCTGCCCAGGTAAACTGAATTAATCTTAAATTGCATGCATGCATGCATGCATTATGGTACATTTTAAGGTATGGTCATTAATTGTATAGTGACAACTATTTTTTTCCACAGAATCCCTCCCTTGTTTAACACGTGGGTTACTGATCTAAGCACTCACAATTGTGTATAATTTACCTTGTGCTACAACAACTTCTTTGTATTAAGAAAGAAATATTTGTAGTGCCTAGATTTAGCATTTAAAAGAGGATTCTTAACTATCTGTTTGCTAACTCAAGTTAATAGGGACCAAAACTGTTTTTGGCTGAATTTTTCTGTGTTCTTCATCTGATCATACTAAGGATGGAGAAAGAAATATTAAATGTAATAATAATAGCTTTTTATAACTCCAGTATTTCTAATTCTGTTCTGTAATATTAGTGGCATAGACACAGCACATGGCACTCTTGTGTGCTAGGTGGTCACTCAATAATACAACTATTCTAAAATCATGTTGATAAATCCCTCGCACCCTATGATCATGCTTTCTCTAGCTCTATAATTTGTTTATATTTTTAGTGTCTTCTGTGAATGCACTCTGGGAAAATTTCAGCATAAAATGAATCCTTCTCCTCAATAAATGTCAAACATCATTGAGAGAAGTCATTTATAATACTATAATAGTTAGACTTTTCTGTCTCTAGAGATGAATAAGTCTGGGCCAGGTGGCGAGACGCAAGTAAATGTAGATCTGCTGGCAAGATTAGTTTTTTTCAACTTGCATTTATATCTTGTTAGATAGAAAATCATATTTTGGAGGACTACCTGCTAAGGGATCATAAATATTTGAGTTTAAAATAATTGTAATGAGAATATTTTGCAATCCCACTTTTTCCTCTGAGAACTTTTAATTTAATCTTTGACATTAGAAATAGGCCTGCTTATCAGAACCCTTAAGTGCTGGATACAGGACAAAGCAAGCATAAGAGCCATGTATACCTATGTCTTAGTCTCAGTTTTGGTATTAATTCTATACCAGCTGAGACTTCTGTGCATTTTAAGAATCTTCCAGGCTACTCCATTTGGTGGAAATGACAAGAGCGCTCCTTTTGTAGCAGTGTTGCCTTTTGCCATCTGTTCACATCTGGGAGAGATCTCCAATGTCTGGATCTGCTGCCTTTGTTCTGCCTTCCGTCAGGAAACTGATAGAAAGCAGACATAATAGATTGTGTTACATCTCTAGCACAACATTTGCTAAGTGACCACATTACAAAAAATCCTAGACATCTATTGTTACAGAGGAAGGACTGGATTTTGACAGCTTGGATGGACAGGGAAAGCAGGCCTGGCAAAAGCTACTTTCCCCTAACGACTGTTTTCTACAGTTTGCCATGCTCATTTCCTCCTTTCTCCAGATCCTGCCTTGAGGAACCTAAGAATTAGTGGCATCTTGTTGCTGCAGCTTCCTATTATCTCCTCCTCCTAGAACCCAGATGTTCCATTAATAAATCCAAATGCTGACTTGCTCCTTCCTCTGGCTGCTTGCCAATTAAATATGCTGCTACATCATGCAGTGTATTATGGAACATCTGAAATTGTGTCCATTAGTTTATAGAATGTTAACCTGTCAATTCAGTTGGGAAGAGGTGAGGGGGCTGCATTAATAGTTGGCTATCAGGCTGTCACTTGCTAGGGTAGGGGCAGGCAATTATTTCGGGTGGAGGGCCACTTACTGAGTCTTAGCAAGCCATTGAGGGCCGCATGACAGGCAGCCTAGGGCAGATAAATATTAATTTTCTAATATTTTTAGGGGCCCTGTGGGCCGGATAGAATGGCCTGGCAGGCTGCATTTTGCCCACCCCTGTGCTAGGAACAAAATTCAG